TATCAAATTCCATCATATATTAAACTACAATAATCAAATATGGATTAATGAAAAGCATTATTCAAACAACTCCTCCATATTAATCTTTCTAACAATCAAAATATGCCCCTAGACTCACATGAAGCAAATTGTATTGGAGGGAATGCGATAGATCATATGTATAGCTGAAATAAAAATGGCTCGATAAGTCAACCGATTGAAAAAGCCGTAGGTAACGCATTTCGTCGTTGAGCTGGCGATTGCGTCCCACTCCGGGAAGTAAGTTATTCGAAATCCCCACTGGAGAACGTAGCATAGCTCGAAACAAGGACCCGAGAGCAGAGGAGCCACGGAAAGTCAAGTTGGCAGGTGGGGTGGCACAAGATGACGGTCCCAAAGAGTGGGCAGGCCGAGAGGCGTTCCAGGCTGTCAGCAAATGACTAGATAAAGGCGAAAGATAACTGCTACTCGGCTCCGGAATGGGCAAATCTCCAGGAATGTAAACCATACAAGTATCTTCAATCTAAAGCAAAGTCGCAATTACATAAGAATGGTATATTCAAGTGGGCCCAGAAGAATAAGAGCTTCTTATAAATCTGAAATAAATAGAATAATGAGGGAGAGTAAGAAAAAACGTTAGAATAAAGGTTAGACACCGAAAGCCAATCCAGAGTGAAAATGAATGCAAAAAGACTTACTATTTCGAAGGAAAAGTTGATTGGAATGAATTTGTGGAATAGCCGCACCGGAAACCAAGGGATAACCACGGAGTGAAGACTTCTGGATTATGTGAAAAAGTCTTTAAATCACCATCCTGAGACACCAGTGAACCTGTGCTAAACTTTCGTCAGTACTGTGAAAAAAATCATACTTTACGAAATAACGAAAAAATGTACTAAACCAAAAGGGCAGGTGGCCGGCTGTAACCCTGGTCACATTTGTACACCTAACCTTGCGAGCCTGAGTCATCCTATGATTGGGTTGGCTAACTTAAACTTACCGTACATGCTTGCAGATTAGCAAAGTTAATTCATGAATCGAAAGATGGTTCGATGTCAGATGTTTCCATACACAAATTAACTAGCGTACGATCCTTTAATTTTTCCACATGTCTAAGTATGTGCTATTGTCGTTTATGTGCATATAATGTCCATGTGATGAGAGGTGTGATAGCCCTAGCTAGATTCGAAGCTCAAAGTCACTTCCGGCTCTCCCTCTCTTTCCCTCTACTTACGCCTACCCAACAGCTATAACTAATTCCTACTCAATTTTCGATACTAATTCCTATTCAGGACGTTGGCTGTTTTGTTAATTTACATAGACTCCCTAATCTTACGTTTTGATATGAAGTCCCTGTAACTAGCAAAACGTTGGGTTATGCATCAGTCTATTGAATGTTCTGTATTCGCAATGCATCCAGCAGGCTCCGACTTTTGGACCCGTAGATTTGTATAAGTGGAGGGTCTCACTGACACAAACATTACCACATAAACACAAAACTTTGCAGCAGCCATTATTAGCCCCACACATCAACTCGTCAGAGACAAGTGAAGCCGATCCTTTGACTAAACGTGTGATAAATGTGTATCACGTATACGGTCCGCCTTTAGAAATTATAACGCATACAATGGACTCCGGACTAGGTGCGTTCCTCTAAGTCTTCCTACCAATATGATCAAGGTTAGCAACCTCTATACAACGAAAGGAGACTGCGACCACACAAAAGGCCACACCATCTTGGTCTTCATACCTT